TGGGTTTATATGTTGGTTATTGTACTGTTTTTATTGAATGATGTGCTAATTTTTAATTCTTATTGATTTAATACTGTTTTAAGGGGGGAGGGGGTGCTGGGTTTGAGCATTGTATATGTTTTTATGCTTGTAAGCTGCTCTGATTGGGTTCCCAAAGGGCAGGATATAAATAAATTTTATTATTATTATTATTATTTATAGACCCATTCTCTTCCATTCCAGCATTCTCTGAAGAAGCCAGCCACAGATGCTGGCGAAATTTCAGAAAGAAACTCTTCTAGAACATGACCACACAGCCCGAAAAACCCACAAAAAACTAAGTAGATATAGTTCAGTTAAATGATTAATTAAATTAATTAGGACCAAGTAGCAGACCCTATACCTACAAAAATCTAAATCACTTAAAATTTGTTTAAAGAAAGTAGTAAGCCAATGTGGTATAGTGGTTTGAGCATTGGACTATGATTCTGAAGACCAGGATTTGAATCTCAACTTGGCCATGTAAACCTCCTGGTGACACTCTCTCAACCCAAAAGGATGGCAATGGCAAACCTCCCCTGGAGAAACTTACCAAGAAAACCCTGTGATAGGTTTGCCTTAGGGTCTCCGTAAGTCAGAAATGACTTGAAGGCTCACAACAACAAAATACTATTTACAGAAAAAGATAATTGCATGTGTAAAATTACATATACAAAACAATAATTTATCAGAAGTTCCTCTGTCCTTGGACTGAGCACCCCGTTTGATCCTCCCCCCAATATTTGCAGCAGATTGTGTATTTGGGGGTCGGTACAGATTAGTCCGGCACATAAACACAATGAATAAACCCTCTTAAACTGAATTAGCCACAGATTTAGGAGCTGTGTGGCTCTCAAGGATTGAAACTGGTTAAAACAAACACATGTCCCTTGGGAGTAGCAGAACCAATTAAAAAGTAAACTATCTTGGACAGCCTCCAGGGTCTATTTAGCCCAGGAGAATAAAAATATAAAAATATTCTCCAGACTAAAGACAATCTGGTTTAGAAAACAGCTTTCAAACAGGATTAAGTATACTACACTGGATTAAGCAGGCCAACAATCTGACTCAGGGCTTGTCTCTCTTTTTGGACTACAACTCCCCAAATCCTGCAGCCAGCATGCTGGGCAGGGGATTCTAGAAACTGTAGTTTAAAACTAATTTTTCTATACTGAGTATGTAAAAGGTAGCTAGTAAGACTAATTTTCATGCCTTGAAAAAACTGCTCATCCTGATTTCTGAACTTCATATTTTTGTTAAAAGGTTATTTACTTATTTCAGTCCCATTCTTCTATGGGATGAAGCGGTGGAGTTAAAGTGGTATGACAGTGCAATCTGGATACTCCCAAAGACAATGGAATAGGTCAGGACTGTTCTGTTGTTCACCGGGCAAAATCCTCCTCATCTGTTTGCCAGATTTTATTTTATTTTCTGGCATGGCGCTTGTGATTTTAATAGTGGCATGCCTGGCAGTGAGTGAGGCTTTCCACATAATTACATGTGCTTGCCAAGGGGGAAAAAAGAATGCATCTTCTAAATTTTTTGCTTCATTTACAGGAGCCCTGCCAGAATTAAAAAGCTGGTCACACCACATTGGGGAAAGAAAACAGAACATATATGCTTGAATAATCATTTGTAAAAAGAAGTCCCTATTCCTCCTGTCTTTTCCACACCCTGAACAGCACAGGACTCTTTTTAAAATATATACAGTGGGCTCTTGGTATCCACTGGGTTTTGGTTCCAGGACCCCTGTGGATCCCAAAATCCATGGATGCTCAAATCCCATTATATACAATGGTGTACTGGTATGGCATCCATTATACAAAATTGCAAATTCAAAGTTTGCTTTTTGGAATTTATACCTTTTTGAATATTTTCACGCCATGGATGGTTGGATCCATGGATAAGGAATCCGGGGTTATGAAGGGGAGACTGTATATATAACGGCTTTGTGTATGGTATTTTGTAGAAACAGTGAATCCTTGGAAGCTGCCTTATGCAGAGGTGAGTCAATCCCGCATCTACCTCGAAGGTGGGGAATCCTCAGCCCTCAAGACATTTGGAAACATCATTTTCCATCATCCTTAGCCAGCACACCCAGTGATAACAGGCCCATACCCAGTGATAGCAACATCTGGAGGAGACACAAAATCAGATTAAGGTGATGATGGTAGCATGCAGAGTTAAATACCCTACTGTACTTCTTGTTGTGGTGGTACTTTCCTATATGGCCAACAGGCTACCCCTGAATATGTTTTCTGGATGTGAAGATCCGACATTTTAGCCACTACAAGGGAATCCTAAATAGAGAGTCAATGGACTGGGACTTTACTATTTGAGGTCCCTGCCTCCAACAAGGGTAAAACTTTTTATTTTTAATTGGGACTGCGCTTGGCATGTGTTATCAAAACAGCACCTACAATTTGTAAAGTGTAATGTAAAAGCATGGAGGCTTCTCCTGACAGATCCAATGTTCTCTGCCTAACAAAGAGGGCGGTGACCTCACAAGGAACAGAGACATCTTGGATCTCATAGGACCTTACCACACGTGGCCCACAAAGCGATAATAATCCTGAAATGACAAATTCCGA